AAATATGTCTATATTATCTTTACATCATGATTTTACATATCCTCCACTCCTTTTTACATCTTCTACACCCACATTCATATGGCTCAAGCACCACAAGCATCACACTGTTTCTATTATATATACATTTACATTTATTCATTTAGCAGAGAAGTGCTGATATAGTAATACAAAGCATCATATATATATATATATATATATATATATATATATATACTGAAGAGTTTATTTGCAAAAACAGTTTTTATTAATTTTCAAAAATCATGTTTTTTATTATGTTATCATGTTTTTGTTGTGTTTTTTGTGTTAGTTAGCTGTATTTGTTAGTTATTTTTTACCTAATAAAAATAACCCGACTGCAGTTTGATTGAGATTATTCGGAATGCACAATGAAAAAACATGATTTTTGAAAATTGTTAAAAACAGCGTTATCTGTTTTTGCAAATTAACTCTTCATATATGATAATTTTATATACATAATTATAATGTCCTTTTTATATTTCATACAAAGTTTTATGAAATATGACAAAAAATCTAATCATGTCATCATTTACACAAACCTGAATGACTTACTTTCTTTTGTGCAATATAAAATAAGGTATTTTGAAGACTGTTGGTAACAAAGCTGTTTTGGTTACCAATGACTTCCATTGCATGAACGAAAAAAAAAACTGCAATGTTTCTCTTCTTTTATGTTCCATAGTTTAAAGGTCGTTGTAGCCTAAACGTTTATGTGTAATAAATGTTATGTTGAATCAAATAAAATATTTATTTCTAAAGTTACTATTTGTTAAATAAAATGGTGATCCCATGTTAATTAATAATTCATTATTATGCTACAAAATATGCTACTGTGGATGAAAAAAAGACTCAACTGCACTTAAAAAGTGTCAATTGCAGGTTTCAATACTTCGATCATGGAGAAACTCTCTCAGAGAAAGACCTTTTTAACCTCAAATGTGTCTATGAAAACCAGATTGGGTTTATATATAAATATATAATGACTTAATTCAAAGCTTAACAAATACATATCACCAGGTGAACCAAGTAACACAAACTACACTTTAAAAAAGAAAATGAATGTGTCAAGGCATTAATAAAATATCAAATAAAATAATTTGTTATAATATTTTGGCATAATAATAGCCCTATTATAATATTAATGATTGTCAAAGCAAAATGAAATCTTTACAAAGATTTGAAAACCCCTGGTTGGGAATCACTGGTTTAGACAACTGTGTTTTAGTCAACTTTGTTGATGAAGGCAGAATATTCAGTGTAGAGTTAGGAGAAGTGTAGTGTGTGTGTGTGTGTGTGTGTGTGTGTGTGTGTGGGGGTGTGTTTGTGCTGATTGTGTTGAGCCTGCACTGTGCCCATGAGGAAGCTCATCTGTTACGACGCGTCTGCATGGCTTGTGCCACTGAGGGCGGATGACAGGGTGTCACAGCAGCAGACAATGATGGATGCACCACATTCAGTAGGCAACTTGGGCAATTGGACACATTAACAAGAGGCACCTGCTTTTCTCTCCGTACAAATCTATTAAAAGATAACAGCAATGGCAGATCCCACTCAACTAGTAAATGATAACTCTGTCTTCACTGCAAGGAGAGAGGAGTTCCTCGAAAAACACTGGCCTAAACCATAGCATTGCTGGTCAAACAGTGCCATCTAGTGTTTAGAGTGATAAATGTTGCTGCATGATATAAGAGACCGATATTCTACATTGGCTAGTGTGGCTAGTTGTCACACTGATTATTACTATACTAAAAAATGCTGGGTTAAATACAACCCAGCGCTGGGTTGTAGTTAACCCAGCATTTTTTAGAGGGGACATATATGCTATATATGTCGCCCTGCACAAGCATACTTACTGTATAACATACTGAATACTTGTGCATATAAGCATAAGCATATAACATACTGAATACTTGTGCAGGGCGACATATATAGCACACTATAAATAAATAAATAGATAGATAGAGATAGGGATTTTTTGAAGTAAATAAAGATTATTTACATTCATTTACATTTTACAAGAAAATACTATTTTATTCTTTACTTCAGAGTTTCAAGTTCAATGCGTTAATTGATTTTTCTTTCTCAATTTCTGAATGAAAATTGTTTCTTCCATTTTGTTCAATGGTTGATTGTTTTAATCATTGCATAAATGTAAACTATATTAGCTCTAATCTGTTTAATGTGACTATAAGACATTAAGATATTCTAAACATTAACATCATGAAACGTTATATTGTGAAAGCACTATACAAGTTAATTTGACTCAACAAACACTGATCATTTCCACCGTTATTTAAAAAAATAAGGTACAGTTAATTTAACGCACACTGACCTTTTATACCAATATCAATGTCTTTCAACTTGAGTCGTGAGTGTGATCCATTTTACAAGTTTTGATAAAGTCATACATACATCAATCAAAATGGCTGATTATACAGATTCAAGACTACACACACACACACACACACTTTTATGTGTAAAGCGTATGACTGTGGTTTAGTGGGTAAACAATAATGTGTCAAGCAAGACTCAACCTGCCTCAAGAGACAAGTGTGAGACTGATGCGACAAAAGCCCTCAGGCAAATTTTAATGATGGATTGAGAATCATTATCCTTCTGATGGTGATGTGAGTGGCAAAAGACATTTCTTGTGGACATGTGTGGTCTGTGCTTGATGATTGGCTTGATTTTTTTCCACTATGAATCTGAGAAACTAGGCTAATGGGTTTTCTGTAAGTGTACTCAATCCTCTGTGCTCCTGTGAATATGGGGATTTTCAAAGTAAATGTTTTTTGTTGTTGTTGTTGTTTTTTTACAAATAATCTGATTATTTATATGGATGATTAATTATCCACAATTAAAAGGTTCACCTTTCTATAATGTCATTTACTGTTTTTTTCTGCATGTTGCACTTACATTTGGTGGACAGACTTATTTAAAATATTAATAAGAAGTGAAACAGCTGTGTATTTTATGTATGTATGTTACGTATTTATTTATTTATTTTAGTGCTGTCAAACGATTAATCGCGATCTGCTTGCCTATGTAAACTATTCATCATTAATATGGTGATTACGGAATTCGATCTTTTAATATTACTGTTTTAAATGTATTAAGGCACTTTAAGTGTTTTTACAACGTTTTGTCGCTCTGTTTAATGATTGAAACATTGCCGCGGGTGCTTAATATGGACTGCAAATGGCCAAAACTTGCATTTTGTTCACACACCTTTGTTTTATCTTTTGAGAGGTGATCTAAATATTTGCGGCTGGCTGTAGAGAACCATTATAAGGCGGATTGCGTTATATTCCGGCCTCATCTGCTTGCCTATGTAAACTATTCATCATTAATATGGTGATTACGGAATTCGGTCTTTCTTTGTTTTATCTTTTGAGAGGTGATCTAAATATTTGCGGCTGGTAAACAGATGGAACATTGACAGGCTTGTGCTGCAGTTCTATGGATGTTTTGCCCTCCAAGTCTTCGAGCCAGTCACGTGACTGAAAACGATGAATCGTAGGAAGCGTCACGCCCTCAACCCTTGTTTATTTCACGGGAATGACAATCCTGCTTGGAGTAGATTGGGGAGTTACTAGACATTCTCTTAAAAGGGTATACAGTGCATTAATTAGGTCAGCAATTGATTATTGTAGAATAGTATATGGCTCAGCATCAACATCATTAACTAAGATAGAGGTAATTCAAAACCAAGCCCTTAGAATATGTTGTGGAGCGTTTAGATCCTCTCCTGTGACAGCTTTGCAGGTAGAAATGGGTGAAGCTGCTCGATTTGTCCAAGCTAGAGTAAGTGATTAATGTAGGGCAAAAAATGCAGGAGGCTATAGATGTTGTTGAAAATTGGGCTAATCAATGGGGTTTTCGTCTTTCAGTTGAAAAAACCCAGGTAATATGTTTTTCAAAGAAGAAGAAAACTCCTGAAGTTAAATTAAAGTTGTATAAACAAACATTAGAGCAAGTATCACTAATAAGGTATCTGGGAGTATGGATGGATTCCAAATTAACATTTGGGTCACATATTCAGAAGTTAGTTGATAAATGTAAGAAAGGAGTCAATGTGCTGAGGTGCTTGGCAGGAGTAGATTGGGGAGCTACTAGACGTTCTCTTAAAAGGGTATACAGTGCATTAATTAGGTCAGCAATTGATTATTGTAGAATAGTATATGGCTCAGCATCAACCTCATTATTAACTAGGATAGAGGTGATTCAAAACCAAGCCCTTAGAATATGTTGTGGAGCGTTTAGATGCTCTCCTGTGACAGCTTTGCAGGTAGAAATGGGTGAAACACCACTAGACATTCGTGAAATTCAGCTTAAAATGGTATATTGGACTGGTATTAAAGGTCATTTTACCAATCATCCAGTAAAAAAATATATTGGAGAGCTGCTGGGAATATGAGCAGACATATAGGCTATGAATAGTTTTGGCTGGACAGTAGGCAAGCAGGCTCAACAAATAGATATCCGTAATATCGATATTAGCCCCATGGTGGCTCTGCCAGTATATCCACCTTGGTTTTTGTCTATGCCAACAGTTGATTTGCAAATATTTAATTTAATAAATGAAAACAAGAAATATGTTCCAAAAGAGACAATAGTGCAGCAGCATTTAGACAGTTATTACTTTCAATTTTTACAAATTTATACAGATGGTTCTAAAGACCCAGAAACTGGGCGTACAAGTGCTGCCATGTATATTCCTCACTTTAAATATAAATCTGCAAAAAGAACTTCTAATAATATATCAGTTTATGCAGCAGAGATGATCGCTATTCAGATAGCTTTACAGTGGGTGGAAGAAATCAGCCAACAACAGTGCTAATCTGTGCAGATTCATATTCTGCACTCACAAGTATATTGAGTGGAAAATCAGAATCTAGACAAGATATTTTATTAGAAGTACTAAAAGCTGGTTTGCCAACCGCCATTAAACATCATGAGAAGAAGAAGAAGAAGAAGGCAATCCTGCTTTGGCCAGGCAAACGAGCGGAGCCTCCCAGCTACGCTGGATTTGAATGTCTAGTCTAGTGTACAGACATAAAAACTAAAATGTCAAAATCCATCAAAGAGTTCAGTCTTCACTACGACCCGATTAATGAAAGCAATACCTTTACTAGTGGGGATATTGTAGAGGGGCGAGTTGTTTTGGAGGTAACCAAAGAAATAAAGGTGGACAGCTTTTTTGTGAAGCTGACGGGGGACGCACATGTAAGCTGGACTGAAGGATCAGGTGACGACGAAACAACCTATAGCGACCATGAGAGATACTTCAAACTAAAGCAATACTTCATTCAAGAGAGCTCAAAGAAAGGTGAGGTTGCACATAAGAAAACGTCAAATATATAAGAATATCAAATTTGTATTCCAAATTGTGTAACGTAAGTTACTTTTATTTCTTGCTGTAACGTCTACAGGAGAAAGTGAAAAGAATACAACTCTTGTAGATGGAGAGACTTGTAAGTAAATGGGTTTCATAGCCTATACCTTGCACTAAGTAAATAGCATAAAATTAAATAAATTGCGTAAAACTTTTTTTTTCATAATTCACATGAAACCAGAAATGATTGTTTGATGATAGTAAACTAAATATGCTTGTTGAAAAACTATTGTAACCCATATTACATAACCCCATATTAACCTTATTGTTCATCAGATGGACCAGTGATTAGGCCAGGAAGTCATGTTTTTCCATTCACATTTCAGCTGCCTCAACAGTGAGTGATACTACTGATGTGCTTTTCAAAATACATCTTCAATTGTTGTTGTTCCTTATTGTGTAAATATGTACACAGTGAAAAAAATATTCAGCAGGTGT